GGGTTGTCCTTGGCGACCTAGAGCCGAGCGAAGGCGCTCCTGCCACTACCGGCCTCGATATGCTCGATTCGGCGGCCAGATTTATGCGGAAACAGGCTTCTGCCAACACTCGCCTGGGTTTCCTATTTAACCCCTCTGTCCGCACCAAGTCTGAGGGCCGCCACAGGCCTGTCGAATGGGGAGACCCACACTGGCTGATGCGGGCCCTCCTGCTAACTGGGCATCCTAGTGAACAACTGCTCGCCTCCGCCAAGGACAACTTGTCCCCGCCTAAGTACATGAACATGATGGCAGCCAAAAACTTTGCCATCAAATTAGTCGGTGAAATGCGCAGCATGTTCAATGAAAGACGCAATGTCTCCGCCTTCAGCAAGCTTTCTGTTGGAGTAGGTTTATTCTTTTTTTGTACTGCTGCATGCTTCCACTCCCCGTTTTTTTATACAACTTTGGAATGCTTTGTCTGGATAAAAGTAATCCGTTTAGCAATTTCATAGAAGACAAGTTGAAAAGTGATCGTTTCGTTGACGCCTAGTCGGTTTGTAGCAGGTTCATTTCATTGACGGAATAAGGGTTCAGGCTAAAAGAAATTTGTTTGAACGTTTGAACTTGTTTTCAAGTAGATTGCCCACAGGGAATTAGTGACATGGCTAAGCGTTATCTCAAAAGGACTATTTGCCAACAGGTCTTTAATCTAATGTTAATTTATGTAGTTTTGAAGTAATTCGCTTACCCAAACCTCAAGTGGTCAGTTCGATCTCGGCTGATGACGGCTACTCAGCCAGAAATGGTCAATCCGGTCTCCTTGTTTTTGTCGGTTCCACTCCATCATATGTCTGAAGTCGCTAAGCGACTGCCTCCGATTACCCTAGACTGAGCCTCACGGCACAACGGTACCAGTATTTTACCTAACCATATATATCAGTGAGCACCCTACTTCCATCATATTTCCGATCGCAACCGACAAAGCAACGAGCCCGTGGTGCAATGCTAGAATGTTACACTCAATGACCAAAGGCCCTGGGTTCGAAATTCGGGCGATCCACACCTAGGATTGCGTATGACTGATTGATTACGACTAATAAGCCAGAAATAATCATTCCGGTCTCTCTTGCCTATGTTACGTCATGAGCATGAGCCACTGAGCCGGGCATGCATGCCTGCGTAATGTGCCTGCGTAAAGGGAGTTCAAAGGCGTTCGCCTATCTTTCCCTCAATAAACTGAACTGAACTGATTCGGTGTCCAGATATCATAACACGTTCATTATCATCCCCGGAAGATGAAGACGAAGAGGGAACAAGTACTTGGACCAAATCGTATTCATACTGACGTTTCGAAACATACTCGTTCTCGTCGTCAGAGTGTAGCGCTTAGTCTTCCGCTGGCATTGAATTAACGCGTCTCACCGCTCTCCTCGTATTGTAACCGTATCCGATACGCGTGCGTCCGCTCGCCTGTTGACGCATCTTCACTTCAGGAGCAACCACCCCTTCGGTCAAAAAGGCAGTTGCGTCAGAACTCTCTTCCAAAGTGCTCAAACACTGATGTGAGTACGATTGGAGGAAGGAGGAGAGGAAGTACATACATGCCCTATTTCAGGCCAATGGTTACCCAAAGTCCTTCCTACAAGGGTGTGTCAGGAAGTCCCACTCTGAGGTTTCAACTGAGGAGAAACCGAAGTTCTGGCTGTCGATTCCCTATGGCAAGGATGTCTCAGAGGCGACTGCAAGACTCCTGAAACCGCTCAGGATCGGCGTGGCCCACAAACCGGCACTAACCATCAGGCAGCAGGTTATAAAGTTGTACTGACTTTAGTTAGCTTGCTTGCTTGTTACGGCTGCGATCATGACTGATCTAGCCGGCCTCAATTATGTCCC